TTCACCTCACTTGGCTTCTCGGTGCTGCTGTGAGGGCTTCATTTGTTTCTGTCCATGCAGATTTTATGTTTTCATCTCTCTTGAATTTTGTGTATCTCAAAACTTTTGTAATGACATAAACCCATCATAAGTCAAAGATATCGTAGCTGAAAATGCATTTAATGCTAGCAGCACAGCATATAATCCCCAATGGGATTTTTCCACATTATGAATGTGTGAGAGTCATACAAATTCTTAGGAACTGTACCACTCGACTTATAATCAGACTATGTCCTGATAAGCCCATTATAAAGTCAAAAAATCAAAAATCATTAAGTCGGACCATTGTAAGTCAGGGACTGTGCAGTGAATGGGTATAAACAAAATGCAGTATGTCTGTACTATAAGATATTAGCCATCCATAGAAAGGAAGGGAATTCTTGACACATACCAAAACATGATGAGCTTTAAAGAAATTATGTTAAGTGAAATAAGCTGGACATGAAGGACACATGTTATATGGTTCTAATCATATAAGGTGCCCAGATACAACAGCCAGACCTTACTTTCTACATTCTGATGCTTTAACTTCTGGGGCCTTCCTGACCCTGAAGAGGCTGCTAGTTCTCGAGAGAGCAAACAGCTTGCTTAGAGCACACCTTTCAATTGCAAACCTCCCAGTCCAGAGCCCAGCTCCACCCACCTCCATTACTGACCCTCCGATGCAGGGCTACTACCCACTTGCCTGACCACCCCAGGGCCAATCTGAGGAACCATCACAGCTAGCGGAGCCCGAGGAGGCCTGACGATTGCATGTGCTGCAATGTGGATCCTGGATGAGACTGATTCTGGGACACAGAAAGGATTTGAGGAGAAACTACAGCCCTCTAAGTGGAGCGTGGACTGTGATGTGTGGAAGGTACCACATGGAGGTGCTGTGTTAGCACTGGGGGGAATGGGTGTGGGCACATGAGAGGTCTCTGCACTCTATCACCAACTATTCTAAAAACCAAAGTGCAGTAAGGGGTGTGTGACACAGTAACAAAACTTACTTTATCTTCGGCCCAGGTTCCTGTCACAGAGTTCCTAGAATCCTGATTATTCCCTGAGTGACAGGGCTGCTAGGAGCATCTTTCGTTCCATTATTTGGTCTTCCTCCCCAACACAGCTCCTAATCCTTTGGACTTTCCTGGGTGATAAGAGAGTCTTTTGTTCCAATAAGGTGACTCTCAGTGGCTCCTGGGTAGGTGCTGGTCCCCAGAAAGAACCATGAATAGAAACTTGGAACTTTCAGCCCCACCAGATAGGGTGGAGAAGAGGAAAGAGAGACAAGCTGGAGACTGAGTTAAAAACGGATATTGCTTATGTGATGAAGCTTCCACGACAGTCCCTGAAAGGTGGTCAGAGCCGTTCTGGGTGGTGAACACATCCATGTACCTAGAGGGTGGGCATCCCAACTCCACAGGAGACATAAGCTCCTTTGCTTTCTTTGGCTTCTCATCTGTTGTTATTTGTTTTAGAGACAGGGTCTTGCTCAGTTACCTAGGCTGTAGTGTAGCAGTACAATCATAGTTCACACTGCAGCCTCAAATTCCTAGCCTCTAGCAATCCCCTTGCCTCAGCCTCCCAAGTAGCTGGGACTACAGGCACCTGCCACCACACCTGGCTTATTTTTCCTATGTTTTATAGAGATGGGGTCTCACTATGTTTCCCAGGCTGGTTTTGAACTTCTGGCCTCAAGCAATCCTCCTACCTTCGCCTCTCTAAGCACTGAGATAACAGGAGTGAGCCACTGCACCCAGCCTTTTATCATATCCTTTATTAATAGGATAAACTGGTAAACATAACTGTTTGCTATAGTTTTATGAGCCATTCAAGCAAATTACTGAATGTGAGGAGAGGCTCTCAGAACACTCAGACAGAAGTTGTGGGTGACCTAAGGATCAACAATCTGCAACCATCATCTGCAGAGGGAGAAATCTTGTAAGGCTGAACCCTTTTCCTGTGGGGTCTGCACTAACTCCAGTTAGATGGTGCCAGTACTGAATTGAATTACAGGATACTCAGTTGGTGTCTGCAGAAAACTGGAGAACTTCTTGGTGCAGGAAAATGCCCCACACATCTGGCTTCAGAAGTGTTCTGTATGGAGAGTGAGTACTGAGAGAAACAGTTGGTTTTTCCTATACAGTATGACATGTGGAGATAGAACACACATCCCCAAACATCTTCAGACCAGAAAGATGCTGTCTACAACACAATTTATTGCACCTGCTCATTAATGAGACAATAAAAGCCCTTCAGGGATAGACTCGCACAGCAGAACACCTGCCACCAAGCACATTCCTGGGGATTATGAAGGCCGCTGATTGAATTTCTGACAGCATTATAAGCAAGTGGCACAATGTTTGCCAAATATTGCAAGTACATAATCTGCAGCAGGAAATTTAGCCATAAGAGACTGTCTGCATACATCAGGGGAAAGGGGAAGTATCAAATATGCAAGGGTCGGGGTACCACTTTTCCTACAAAGAAAGGAAAATACTGAACTGCTTCCGCTCTCTCTCCCACCCACAGCAAATGTAAATTCCATGCCTCCTGAGCCAGGAAAGCACCAAAGCACATTTAGTTGGGAAGCATCAGAAATGATGGTCACCATCATGGAAGCCTCCCAGTAACTGGAACTGCAGACACATGTGGTCAAAGGCAGAGCCACCCAAAGGTGGCCAAGGGTGATCTCTGGGGCAAATGGGAATTCCATTCCAGGAAGGAAGTTGACTCCAGGTGGCCAGGGAAGTCACCTGCCCAAATAAGGGAAGTTTGCTCTGGGCTTAGAGGGACTGTGCAGAACTCTGGCACCTGCAGAGAAATGAACAGTGTGACCCACAGAAAGTGCAGCAGAGAATGAGTGGGGAGGATGCCAAGTACCCACAGAGCTGGTGGGCAGGACAAGGTTAAGTCCAGGGGAATCCTCCACACACAGGCCAACTGAAGGGCAGAGATCTGGCACAAAGGGATGAAAAGCCATGACTTGGGCAGACCCAGGAATCCCAACATGAATAGTCCCTGATGCTGGTAATGTCTCTGTCCTCAGAACACTAATCATCTTGGTACACTGACTTCCTGGTATGGACAGGTGTAGTTTCTCTGCCCTGCATTCACCCCCTCTTCTCCTAACCCTCCAACTCCAACCCTGAGGCCTGCGTGGGACCCTCAATTTCAGGAGAAAACGCATAATGGGACACAGCAGTCAACACAGCCAGTCACGGTGAATCTTGTGCACTCTGTGGATGCTCCAGCAGAGGCCCCAGAGGGGCTTCCAGAAGCAGGAAAAAGACCCTATAGCCCTCCTGCCCATATAAAGATGACTGTGAAGCTGCTGGGTCACCCCATGGAGCCTTGGTGAGACCCAAAGCTAGAAGAAAGCCAAGTCTTGATGAAGCTGGCCACGTGGATACAACCTACCTCAGGCTCTCAGCCACCCAGGCCGAGACTCCTTCTGGCTTCCTTTTGGCCAATCCCAGTTAGATGTTCTGCCTCTGGCAATGTAGGAGTCCTGGTTTATTTCCAGAACCAGCTACTCCCTAGGCCACAAGCTCCTGAATGGTATAAAGCACGTCACATACATTGGTGTGTCCCCAAAGAACAGTGTGATGCCCTCCCCAAGGTAAGTCCCACACAGACCTGGGGTTGCATGGAACCACTGGGAGGGCAGACACATCACCCACGGACAGTCAGAGGGAGGCTGAGGAACACTCAGGCAAGGGCAGCCACTCAAGAGGAAATGAGAAAAATCCAAGAGGTCACCCCTCAGAACAGTAAAGAACCAAACCTTAAAAAGGCTTAAGAAGAGGCTGATGCTATATTTTATTTCTGGTTTAAGTCTTAAGAGGTCAGTAGGGTACACTTGAACGCAGTGACTGCCAAAAGGCAGCACACGTCATTCGGCCCTAAGCAGCTCTGGGTCCTCCATGGGCCACGTACGTCGCAGACCAAACAGCTAATTTTCATAAGTCGATGTGACCTTAGCTTTGAAATAGCTGGCAGGTCCTGTTTAAAACAAGCCTAATGATCTGTTTATGTGGTTGCTCTTACATTAAGTATTATAATAAAAAATTTAAAAGAAGCTAGTCTTTCTCTAAGTTCCTTCTGGATGTTGACAAGCAGAGCTTTGAACGGGGTTTATGAACCTGGGAGACACATAAAAGCTACTCTTTGAGGACAACCACCTCCTATAATTACAGAGTGATTTAGCCTGAGAAAAATGACAAGATTACAGTTATGCACATTGTTCAAGTTTAGGTCTGTTTTTTCATGACAGAAAATACTATTCTAATATTGAAGTTATATTTTGGTCATTCATTTTGGCTAGCCCCAGTAACAGGAGATTAGAATAGGATCTTTTCGAAAACAAACCTAAAACTAACCTATAAAACTATACTAAAGTCGAGGACAAACAGACCACTCTCATCCCTGTTTGTAGTTCTTGTAGGAAAGAAAGGGATACAGAGGGAAAAACACACTCTTACATTGTGGTGGGACTGCAACCTAGTACAACCTCTATGGAGATTCCTCAAAGAACTAAAAGTAGACCTACCATTTGATCCAGCAATCCCACTACTGAGTATTTACCCAAAGGAAAAACTGTCATTTTATCCTAAAGACATTTGCGCTCAAATGTTTATAGCAGCACAAGTCACAATCACAAAGATGTGGAAACAACCCAAGTGACCATGAGTACATGAATGGTTAATAAAATGTGGTGTATGTACACCATGGGAGTACTATTTGGCCATTAAAAAAACCAACAGTGACCTAGTATCTTTTGTAACAACGTGGCTGGGCCTGGAGACCATTCTCCTAAGTGAAGTACTGCAAGAACGGAAAAACAAACACCACATACTCACTACCAAATGGAACTAATCAATCAACGCTTATGTGCACATATGGAAGTAAAATTCAATGGAAATCAAGTGGGTGGGAAGGGAGAAGAGGAGATGGGTAAATTCACAGGGATCAGGTACAATGCATACGTTCTGGGTGAAGGGCACACTTACAATATACAAAAGCAAGTTTTTTTGGCTTCCAATATACAAAAGCAAACTTTGTAACCAAATGTATGTACCCCAGAAACAGTCTGACATTTTAAATGAAAATAAAAAAATAAAGGAAAACAGAATTTAAAAAAGAAGAAAGAAATTCAAACATAAGGTAACTTAAGCCATTGCCACTAGCTAGTCCCAGAGAGGGACATAGAACACTGGAAACCGTTCCCTGGCCCAACCCTCAGGAGAGAACTACTGGGCAAGTACCATGCTGACCAGGCTGTGTGGCCCCCTGGCCCCAGTGGGGAGTCAGCCTGGCTTGCATCTTTAAAGAAAATCATTGTCTTTATAAGAGTCTTGGGGAAACTTGTCAAAAATGCAGATTTCCAGGCCTTGTAAGTCCAGAGTGGATCCCAGATACCCACATTCTGAAACTATCCTCAGTTGTACCTGCTTTTCTCTGGTCAGCTGAGCATGCAGTGACTTGAAGAACCAGGCCCCCCCTGTTTAATAAACCTTTGATTATTACTACTACTACTATTGTTAAAACAGAGTTCTTCATATGCCTAGTTGCCAAGAATGGAACAAGACAGAATCCTAGAACCTCGTTTTACACCTGAAGAAAGTGAGGCCACAGAAATTAAGGAAAGAAGTTCTGACATCACCCAGCTTGGCTGGCCGTTGGAAGGTGGTATAAAGAATAGAGCCCCAGACAGGTGTCAAAAAGCCCTACCTCAGCCCCTGACTTCTTCCAGACAATCTTTTCCTTTGTAACCCCAAAACCCTCTTAAAATGAGATTTAAAAAACAAGAATACGCTAAAACTCTTCATGTAGCCACTAGCCACATATGCTATTTAAATTTCAATTATAATTGACTATAATAAAATAAGATTTAAAAATCCAGTTCCTGAGTCATACCAGGCATAGTCACAGGCTCAGTAGCCATGGGAGGCTGGCAGCTGCCACAGTGAACAGCACAGATTTGGAGCATTTCCAGCCTCACCGACACACGTACCACTTCAAGAATTGCTTTCAGGTCCCTTTTAACATCAGAAGAAAATGTTGATTTAATCTTTTTGGATTAAACCCAGCATGCAATCAAAAGCCCACACACACACTGAAAGTGTTCTCACTTACCCGGTATGTGACATATAGTTTTAGCATCACTAGTCATCCCAAACAAGTCTGGTTCTACTACGCTAAGGAAAAGTCTGGCTTTCAAATATCTGACCGGCTACACAAGCCAGGCTGGAACTCCCACTGGCACGTTGCTCCATAAGCACACACGTACCAGGCCTGCCAAGTGAGAGGCACAAGGAGAGACTGCACCTCAGTTTCTCTGTGTATATAGGGGCCCACACAGGTACCCCCACGACTGTTGCAGCTCTAACATTTTATCCTTTTATGAGCTATGTCAGCAGGTTGTAACTTCACTTCCTGCATTATTGTGTACTGAGCGCTCACATGCCAGGACCAAAAGTGGGGGTCAGAGTCCATCCCCCAGGGCTCCACTAGGAGGGACAGTAGCATGGCTCAGACCCCCATAATGGGAGGGCCACACCAGGCAGGCCTAGCAGGGGGACCCATGAGGCACTGAGGAGCTCAAGTTCTCTCTATGCGGTTCTGGGCCCGTCACAGACTCTGAAGCGTGCTCTTCTCTCTCAGTCTTCCCTTCAGGTTTCCACTTCAGCTGTGTTACAGCAAAGACTCCCGACTGCTTATTTCTAGTTGCTGACCTAGGGCAGGTCGTTTTGCCTTCCAAAGAGGGGCATCACCTAAAGCAGTCTCTACCTCAGTGAGCTTCTGCATGCCCCAAGCACTGGCACTCCCTAGCAGAGCTGCCCAGGGAGGGAGAATAACCCCTCAAAGGGTCTAGAACCACAGGGTGGCCAGGAGTTCTCTCTAAGGGCATGTGGCTGCACATGGGGTGGCAGGAAAGGGGTGTAAAGCATCCATGAGCACAGCGGCAGCAGCCATGTCTGGTTTTAGCAAAAGGGACAACCTCTGCCTCTCTCTTCAGACACTGGCTTCCCACCTGGAGAAGCACCAGGGAGTGGGCACTGACCTCTGCCCAGAAGCATCTGACAGCCACAGGCCCTCCTTGCTGAGACACACAGCACCATGCTGCCTGTGACGGAGTGTCAGGGACCCTGGCCCCAGGCAGGTGCAGGCCTTTCCTCTCACAGCCAGCGGAACCCCAGCCTGGGACACACACCAAAGCCAAGAGGCCCCTGGGGAACACCACGTGGTTCCAGGGGACCACAGTTGCTGGCTAAGAATTAGAAAATTCATTGTATCTGCTATGTTTTATTTTGTTTTGTCTTTGGCCAAGAAAATAATCCTTAGGCAAATCACTGAATTTCACAGAAATACTGGATGTCAGTGGCAGAAGAGAGGAGCCCAACCCGTGGTTTTATAAGGAGGGGTTCCAAGCCAAGTGGGGGTGCCTTGTGAGGCTCTGTAGGGATGCTGCAGGCTGGGCCAGGGCACAGGCCTCTCGTGCCCACCTCTCTAGTTTACTTCGCAAACTCCCTCTGGTGAAGAACCCACTTTTCTCCTTATAACTGACACACCGTCATTTTTTAATACTGTACATATTTATGGGGTACATGTGATTCTTTGATTTGTACATACAAATGTGCAACGATCTAGTCAGGGTAATGAGCATATCCATCACTCCAAACATCATTTGTGTTAGGAACATAAATCTTCTCTTCTAGCTATTTTGAAATATACAGTAAATTGTAGTTAACTATACTTAGCCTACTGTGCTATAGAAAACTGGAACTTATTCCTTCTAATTGTGTGTTTGTACCCATAACCAACCCCTTTCCAATTCCACACCCACCCCCAGCCTCCGCTAACTGCCCTTGTCCTGTTTCCATCATGAGATTCACTTCTTCAGCTCTCACATGAGTGAGAATGTTTTGTCTCTCTGTGCCTGGCTTATTTTACTTAACATGCTGACGTCCAACTCTATCCATGTTGCTTCAAATGACAGAATTTCATTCTTTTTTATGGCTGGATAGTATTCCTTTGAATAGATGTATCATACTTTCTTTACCCATTCATCCATTGATGGACATATGTTGCCTTTTATGAATACTGATAAAATAAACATGGGGGTGCAGGTATCCCTTTGATATACTGATGTCCTTTCCTGTGGATAAAATGCCAGGAGTGGAAGCACTGGATTTTATAGTAGTTCTATTTTTAGGTTTTTGAGAAACCATCATACCGTTTCTCATAGTTGCTGAACTAATTTACATTCCCACCACAGTGTATAAGAGAATTCCCTTTTCTCCACATCCTCAATCTCATTAAAAAGTGGGCAAAGGGTCTAAATAGGTATTTTTCAAAATAAGACATACAAATGGCAAGTTAAGTATAAGAAAAAAATGCTCAGTGTTGCTGATCACTAGGGAAATGCAAATCAAAACCACAATGAAATGCCTTCTCATCCCAGTCACGAGGGCTATTACCAAAAAGTCAAAAAATAAATGCTGGCAAGGATCTGCCTTATGTCTCGTTATTTCACATCCGTGGTCCTACAGTGGACAACTTGTGTGCATCTCACACCACCTGTGCCCCACCAGGTCTACGTTACCTGAGGAGAGGACGCCACTCACCCATGCTGGGAGGCCAGGGCACATTGTGCAAGTCTCTACATGCATCTTGATGTGGATGGTGAAACACAGTCCCTGGCCAGGCTGGCAACTTCCACCAAGAGTGCACTTCCCTGCTTTCGCCTGGGGCCCTCCACAATGTCCTCCCAGATCTGTGGACTATTCCATCTTGGGCAAGTGGGGCTTGAGGCCCTGGGCCAAGTGGAGTGTGATGCACCTCTGCAGAGACAAGTACCAGGATGGTGTGTGGGAGACGGCCCCTGCTTGTATCAGCACTCCTCTCTGAAGGTCACAGCCACAACTGAGAAGGATGCGTGATTTCACCAAGCTCCCAGGAACACTGCATGGTCCAACAACAACTCCCACACTGAAAGCCTCTTATCAAGAAAGCAACTACATATACTGACATAAAATTGTAGCGTGTGAGTTTCCTACACTGAACATTAACATACCCTTTCTTTCCTTTACAGTGTACCTGTAAAAAGGCGCTTATGCTCTTCCTCACAAACAGTTGTCCTATTAAAATCATGCCCTTCTTACTTAAAAAAAATTTTATTGTGGGAAAATGTACATAATACTAAGTTTGCCATTTAACCATTTTAAGCACACAGTTCAGAGGTATGAGTATATTCTCAATGTTGTATAACCACCACCAATATTCCCAGAATTTTTTTATCCTCTCAGAAAACAATTCTGAACCTATAAGCGATAACTCCCTTTCTCGGCCCCGGGTAACCTCTATTCCACTATCTGTCTCAATGAACTTGACTACTCCAGGCACCTGCAAATGGAGGCTTATTTTACTTAGCATAATGTCCTCAAGGTCCACCCACGTTGCAGCACGTGTCAGAATTTCATTCTTTTTCAAGCTGAATAATATCCCACTGTACATATATACCACATTTTTGCTTATCCATTCGTTGATGGACATTTGGGTTGCTTCCACTTTTAGCTATTATGAATAATGCTGTTATGAACATTAGTTTACACGTATCTGTTTGAGTCCCTGCTTTCAATTCTTTTGGAAGTTGGAGTGAAATTGCTGGATCACATAGTAATTCTATGTTCAAATTTCTGAGGAACTATCAAACGGTAGTTTAGCTGCACCATTCTGGATTCCCGCCAGTGATGCATTCAGACGCCAACTTGTCCACATCCTCACTCCCCCGTGTTATTTTCAATTTTTTGAAAATACCCATCCTAGCAGGTATGAAGTGGTTTCTGTGATTTTGACTTGTATTTCTCTGATGACTAAAGGCGATATTTTCTGTGCTTACTGGCCATTTGCATACCTTCTTTGGAAAGATGTCTACTCAAATTCTTTGCTTGTTTTTGGATTGAGTTGTCTGGGGTTTTTATTATTA